ACTCTACTGGAATCTAGACAGTGCAGGACAGAATGATGGTGGTCAGTTAGAGAGTTCAGCAAGAACAAAATATCAGAATGAGCAATTTGCCTCAGAATGCGAGCCCACTGGAATTAGTCCCATTTAATAGGAACTCCCAAGGGACAGAGTCACCCCAGCCGACACATGGGTTACATTTACATTTCTGCCTGCCAACTAGACACGAGGCAGTGTGAGTGCAAAGACCGTGGTTTCCATTTTAGTGTTTCTCATGCCTAGCCCTCAGATTTCCTCATCGCCTGTTTTATTTTCAGTTTCAAGTTCCATACTCATCAGCTTTTGAACTTTTATTCAAATGTTTACCATTTTCAGGGAAATTTCTCATTTGCTACATGTCTAAAATTTAAGGCTACACTTTTTTTTAGTGTATTGTTTACAAAAATGCAGTATGGTTTTTATTAGTAACAATGAAAAACACCCAAATATGCCATATTCAATTAATTCTGATTTTCTTGTTATTTATGTCACTTGGGTTAACATTAATATTGTTTCTCCTTTTTCAGCCACAGGAATCAGACATATTTTTATGGAGGCTAACCTGAAACTTTTTCTCATTTAGACCTTCTTAGAAGTGATACTAGTTTAGAAAAAACAGAAGCAATAAAAGCCTAGTTCATACGTTGAATGTTCAGTCATATATATTGTAGAGTTACAGCACATAATTTTATGTTGTGTGATTTCATTTTCAACCTGAGTTTACTGATACTAACTTTGAGAGTTACTGTAGTCTGCTATCTACTTTTCCTCAGTTACAATGGCTGTAGTACTCCTGCTGACAATGTAGAATTTGAATTCATTTATTTTGTACTTATAATGGTCAGAGATTTTCACTTCAGTATTTGAATAAAAAATAAATAAAATATAGTGAAGGCCCTGAATTGGTAAAATCTGTTTAAGATAAGCCAAATAAGATAAGACAAATTATCAGTGCTTCCCACTGAGAAAAGATGGCAAAATTTACAATTCATGAATTTATACCTAATATTCTCCCAAAAGTAATTTAAAATTTTTATCTGCATAAATGATTATTATTTTTATATCCTACTTAGCAGAACACTAGATGGAGATCAGATGGTTAGAACAGTGGCCTATGAGTCCCAAACACTTAGGTTCTGGCTGTGACCCTGCCACTAACCAGTTGAGTGAACCTGAAGACCTTCCTAGGTCTTAGTTTTCTAACTTGTAAAATGAGAAGAGATTTTGCAATCTCTCATTGTTAATATTTATAATTCTCAATGATAATTCCCCATGAAAGTTAAAGATACCTTCCAAATTTATACACTCTTCATGGCAAGGATTTCACTTAAAAGAAATACTTCTGAGCATGCTGATAAAATACTAACAAACTAAGCCAACACATTTTGTCATTACAAAAGTAGACTTCACTGGTTTTAGTGGTGTGTTATTTTCGGTGGGTCAGATATATCACATATGCTGGACTTTTAATGATTTGACTAATGGACACAGCATCTTCCAAGAAGGGCATTTATTTATTTATCCATTTTGGCTATTTTCATTACTTTGAAAAACAAGGCTGAACTCCAAGGAGAACCATAGCGAGAACAAAGCAAACCTCCTGGTCCAGAGATGGCATCGTTAAAGAGGGCAGGCAGAGACATCGTCCTTTGTCTTCTGCTTTGGTCCTCGCCCACTCCTTCCTCTGGAACCTTGCCCCTTTTAGTTCCCAAGCGTCTTATTCTTCTCTTTAAGGTTTAAAGAAAATTATCCAATTTCATCCTGTCTGGCCAACTCGCAGGGAGAGTTTTCCTAGAATAATTGCCTGTGCAGTCACTTCATTGTGCTGTTTCCTTCGGAAAAATCCCTTTAGAAACTTCCACTGGCAAGGGGCTCATTTCTCAAAGACAAAGAACTAAAACAGCCAGTGACTGCATCTCCCAGAAGATTTGTATTTTTTAAAAGAATAGATAAATTCTGGATTTTAAGAAAGGAGGTGGGAGGATAATGGGTTAGGAATGGGGATAATTTATCTTGAAAAACATTGTCTGTGATTTAAGTAAAAAATTGCTAGTATGTGAAAAACAAAATAATATTTCAAAATGAGGCATTTGGGCTTTCATATTGTTTCCTTTTTTTTCTTTGTGCTTCAAAATTTAGTGGATTAATATATTTATATAGAATAGAAACCTTGGTCTTGATATTTGGAGTGAAGATAAGTTTAAATAGAACCACCAGACAAGGATGCAATTTGTAGTTAAAATTTAGGTATGGAGAGAAGTGATGAAAATGAGGCCTTTATTATTACACATTCATTACATCAGAGCCAACTTTTAAGATAGCACAAAGACTTAACTTCAATACCCCAGCTCCAGTGACCTACTGTTTTGATTCCATGCATTCAAGAAATGAAAAGAAATAAGATTTGGTCATTAAAACAGACAAGATGGCTAATTTGAGGCACAAAGGTATTCTTATGTAATAGTAAATTTTGGCATAAAGTATCTGATCAATTGCCTTAGACTTCTGCTCCTCTTTGCTTGTGTACACTTAGTCATTGATTTAACAATGTGCACTCTCTTCTGTTTCCTAACTGTGGGTCTTTTCTCCCCAGAGACTTCAGGAAAATATGGGGTATTTAGACAGTTCTTGAACATTTGTATCATGTCTAGGTTGATTCTCATGGTTCCTTAGGCAAATGTGAGTTTTGTGGTGGAAGGGAGCATAATTTGTTGCTCATCTTGGGGGTTAAGACTATTTTGAGTCGATTGTTAGGTTGTTTTATTTCTTCTTATTCTGATACTTGTCAGAACATATTAGCAGCATCAGCTGGAAGTAGTCTGGGACCAACCCCAAAGTTAGTTTTCAGTCCTAGTAGAACAAGTGTGTCCATCTTCTTTAGGTCAACTTAGTCAATGATATCTATTGCCATGCAGTAGGTAGGCTGTGTGGGGTATTAAAAAGAAAAAGGTATGTAAAACAAAATAGTTATATATTAATCATTACTCCTTTGATTGCAGATGTCAGAAACATAACTTAAACTAAGTTATTATGCCAAAGGAAACTTTATTAAAAAGGTACTTGGTTCTTTAGCAATTAAAGGAAGCATTAAAGGAATAGAATTAATTAATTGTGGGTGGGATAGGCAGAGACATAAGTAGATGATCTGAGCCAAGAGCAAGCAGAAGTAGAAACTTTACATTGCCAGGACATTCTGTTACCACGCTGTACCTTAGTCTTGTTCTCTCCTTCACAAGGCCAGCCTAATCTACATCAAGTAGAACATGGACATCAATAGCTTTAAAGCTTCACAGTAAGCTTCACAGTTTACTGTTTCTACCATGAATGCAAACTGATTTCTTTTAGGTTAAAACACCCCAAGAACTCTCAGTGGCCTGGTATAGATTCTGTGCCCTCTTGGTGTATATGGGGCCCTATAAGAAGGCAGTGCTGATGCTGAATCTGCAAATGATCTGAGGTCACATGCCTTTTTAGAAGCTTGTGTTTTATTATTTACATTTGGGCAGCTAACAAGGACTTGGTCCTTTGTGAAAGATGGACTATGAAAACGAGACACTGCTCAGTGAAAAGTCAGAGGGGCAGGAAAAAAAAGAAAGCCTGTTAGAAAAGAGAGATGACAAAGGAAGTTAATAATCTAAGCCTGAGAACTGATGGAAAAAAACATTTCCCTTTAGAAATGGTAGCCAGTGGTCTACCCTGGAAGTTTCAGTTATTAACTTATATCTCCTGCATGGTTTAGGAAACCCAGGCTTAGAAATTAACCTAAAACTATCATCTGGGTTTCTAGTGTACTGGATATCTTGACAGAAACAAAACAAATCTTCTCTTGCTGTATACACAAACCAGGTCTTAAAAGATTCCTACAGATAGAGCACAGCTAAACATGAACTTATAATGCAAAAATCACAAATCATTCGAGGAAACAAATTATACAAGTGAGAGTGAGAAGGGAGAAAAGAAGGAAAAAATAAAACAAAACAACCATTAACCTTCTAGAACCTCAAGAGTTGACATTATTGGATACAGAATATAAAATACATTTGTTTAAAATGCTTAAAGAAATAGAAATAGGAATTGAAAATGTGAATAAGAACAAGATTTACAAAAAATTGCCAAGGGAGTATATTTAAGAGTAGAACTTCTAGAAGCATATATCTTTGGAATTCAAAACTAAATGAATGAACTAATAGAACAGTAGACACAGGTGAACAAGAAAGAATTGGAGAACTGGAAGATAAACCTCAAGAATCTAAAGAAATTACCCAGATTCCAACACAGAGAGCGGAAGAACTTGAAAATAAAAAAGCAAGAGAGAGACATGGAGGATACTCAAAGAAAATATATCATGTGTTTAACTGTAATTTCCGAAAGAGAAGTGTGAGCATGGGGATGCTCTTTTTCCAGAACTGATGGAAGACAAGTATCATCAGATTCAGAAAAATGAAACCATTGTAGGGAAACCGTCAAACAACAAAGACAAAGACAAGATCTTAAAAGTAGTAAAAAAAGGAGTCAACTAATTTTAAAAGAAAGATTTTAAATCTTTCACATCAAACTTCTCAACAGCACTAACAGAGACAGAAGACATCAAAATAATATTGTAAAAGTTCTGAGAGGAAATAAATGTCAAACCTGATTTCTATATTAAGTTAAACCACAACTTGAGAGGACTGACTTTATGAAGGAAGAAGTTTTCAGAAACGAAGGTTGAGACTCAAGCAGAAACAGAAGATAAATGGGAAAATCGGAAGAAATATGTAAATCTACACTAATAAGCTAATAACTGTGTGTGTTTACATACATATGCTCCCACAAACACTTACATAAAAGAATAAAAATGTCTTGTTTGGATAATAAAAGAAGTGTTATATAATTAAAATACTGGGCAGGAATAACAAATCAAGAGGGTGATAATAAAATTTAGACATTCTACAGCTCATGTGTTAATAAGAGAGTGGAGATACCGATTAATACCACAATTTGTTGTGCTCATTTTGGCAGCACACAGACCAAAATTGGCAGGATACAGAGAAGATCAGCACAGCCCCTGTGCAAGGATGACACACACATTTGTGAAGCCTTCCATATTTAAACAAACCAACAAACACACACAATCACATTTTTAAAAAAAATTATCTTAGATACTAAGAATAAGTATTAAAGGAACAGAAATATTTCTACTCATTAGAGGAAACATCAGAGGAAGACAAAAAAGAAGAAAGTAGCATAAATGAAACAGAAAAATGTAATACATTCAAAATTCTAGAAATTAATATAATCCAAGAATACTAACAATCTCAAAAATATAAATAAATTAAATTTTCCAATTAAATGTGGAGATTTTTCAAATTAGACATAAACATATTTTTGCTATTTATTACTTACAAGTGTCACAAATATAACATGGGATATAGAAATGCTTTTGCTAAGAATGGAAAAATATATAGCAGTCAAATACTAAACAAAAGAACTGATATAGTTCCTTTAATATTAATATTAAAATAGTCATAAAAACATTATTAGGGCTACAAAGTTATAAATGTTTATTAGGAAAATATAATAATAAACTTGCATGTACCTAATAATATTAATCTCAGATAAAGTGAAAATTAATAGAACTAGAACTTGAAAAAGATATTGGCAAACCCAATGTCACAGTGGGAGATTTTAACACATCTCTGTAAGTAACTGATAGATTAGGAAGAGCAAAAATTAGAAAGTATGCAGAATATTTGAATAATAATTTTTCTTTAAAGAGCATTTATAGAACTCTATACCTCCCAATTAAGATTTTTTATTTTTTACATATATAATAGTTATAAAAATAACTATATATAAGGCTATAAATTGTCTTTCAAAGAACAAATATGAATGTATCATTATTATATAGTCTAGAAGTCACATAGTCTTGTATATTTGAAACAAAAAAATCCCAATTCTAAATACCGTGCAGATTAAAGAAAGCATCATAGAGAATACTAAGAAGTAAATGGTAAAGAAGTTATCAAAACTTGTGGGATGTAGTTTGAACTGGTGGTTAGAGGGAAATGTATAGTTTCAGATGCTTACAGTAAAAAACAATAAAATCTGAATATTGAAAAGCTAAGGATGTATCGTAAGAATTTGAAAACAACAATAAGACAATTAAAGTGAACCCAAATTGTTTTGTAGTCTTGTGAGATAGTCAGGTGTGGCTACAAGAAGAGACAGAAGAAACTCAGGAAAAAAACAGTTTTTTATACTAACAGTTCCTAGAGACAGAAGGCAGATACAGGACCACATAGGAAAGACACCAGGATGATCAGAGGCTGAAGCAGAAGCCAGGGGAAAGTTTAGGCCACTGCCTTTATTGGGGTTTCCATGGGATAGGCAAGGCAAGGCAGGACAAACAGTTTAAAACTGGTTTGAATAATTTTGGAAGGCTTTGGACAATAGGAGTGGTCTCTAGTTGCCTAGTGTCTGGTCCTGGGATAATTAAAGCAGAGGAATATTGCCCTGGATTGTAAAGGCCAGGTAGAGAAGGTTTGGCTCACCTTAGTTAGTTTGCATATCAAAGGAATGTTTTTTGCTGGATCCTCTGCTATCTTTATGTGGTACGTGTACACAACTGAATACTACTTAACCATGAAATAGATGAAATTTTGCCATTTGTGACAACATGGATAGCCCTTGAGAGTACTAATAGCTAAGTGAAATAAGTCAGATGGAAAAGGACAAGAACTATACGACTGCACTCATATGTGGGATATAAAACAAAAAGCAACAAGTGAACAAACCCATAGACACAGACAAAAGAATGGGAAGGTGGAGGGAGGAGGATGAAGAGGGTAAAGGGGATAAAATACAGGATGAGGAGGCTAGCTGGCGAGCACACAATAGAGTATATGGATGTTGTATTATAAAGTTGTACACCTGAAATTTATATTATGTTATTAACCAATGTAACCCCAATAAATTTAATTACTCTTTTTAAATTAAAGAAAGTGAATTAGCTAGTCCTAGGAAGAGCAATGTCTCTTTAGCCAGAAAGGTTCTTTTCAGATGTCCAACATTTTAACGTACAGAAAAAAATTTTAAATTTAAAAATAGCCCTGTCCAATTTGGCTCAGCGGTTAGAGTGTTGGCCTGTGGACTGAAGAGTCACAGGTTCAATTTCTGGTCAAGGGCAGTACTTCAGTTGCAGGTTTGATCCCCGGCCCTGGTCAGGGTCATGCGGGAGGCAACTAATCGATGTGTCTCTCTCACATCAATGTTTCTCTCTCTCTCTCTTTCCTACTCTATCTGAGAAAATCAATGGAAAAATATCCTCGAGTGAAGATTAATATATATATATATACACACACATACACATATATATGTATAAATATGTGAACTCGATGAAAAGATACACTAAAAAGGACCAAAAAAGCAAACATTAGTTTATCGAAAAGATTAATTACACTAACTAAATGGAACTGTGGCAACAATGATCAGAGCAAATGCAATTAGCAATATTTGGAATAAATATAGGAAATAACGGAATATACTGGAGATGTCACATATATGCAACAAAAACATTGATATACAATTTGAAAACTTAGATAAAATAGATCATTTTTAAAATGTGTCAAAATTGACTCAAGAATACATAGAAATAAAAATAAACCTATACATACTTACCTGGCAGGGGAAATACCTTGATCACAAAGGTGGTTTTCCCAGGGCGAGGTTTATCCATCACATTCCCTGTGATTTCCCCAAATGTGGGAAACTCGACTGCATACTGTGTGGCAGTGGGGGACTGCATTTGTACTCTCCCCTGCAAAAAAAAAATAAATAAATGAATAAATAAATAAATAAACCTATAATCATTTTAAAAGATAGAATCAATAGTTGACAGTATTGTGAGATATCATGTACATCACTGTCTTGGTTGTCTGGGATCATATTTTTTTTTGACAGAGAACTGGACTCAAAGTGCAGGTGGGTCGTGTGTGGTTTACTAGTTCTACTTTGGTTGGGATGAGAGCTCAGGAGACATTAGTAAGATTTTACCTCATACAGTGAGGAAGATACAATTCAAATCTATATTAAAGGATTAAATTTAGCCTGTACTCTTGAGAAGACTTCTCCATGCTGCTGGTCTGTTGCTTTTCCTGGTAATTATTGTCAAGGCAATTTAAGTGATAAGTTCTATAGCAAATCCATGTATTTTTTTTTAATAGACTTTGCTACCTTTAGAACCACAGACTGGAAAAAGATAGAAACTAAGTCTTCCAATGACACATGTAGTTTTCCTGGCTGTGCTGTGGTTCACCCTGACCTTGTCTCCAAAGGGTTGCACTTATCTGGCAAGGGGAGCTGAACAGAGAGTCAATATTCATGTTTTTACAGACTTGCAGTTCCTCTTCTCTGATGTGTTTGTTCATATTTTCTGCCTACTTCTGGGCTTATAGTTTCAAAATAATGAGTAGGATAATTTAGACCAGGTATATTAACCTTTTGTCAGTTACATTGCATATATTTTTGGAGTTTATCACTTGCAAACATTTGCCATGACACAAATATATATTGTGTGTCAATGTTTTCTCCTTTATAATTTTAGTTTTATGTTTTAAAAGTTCTTCTGCACTTTAAGGAAAGGGGATACAGTAACACGAACACTGCCTGAAAAGTCCTGTGCTCAGATGCATATTTTGACCATGAAAAAATTTCAGCCCAATTCCAATATAGTAGGCACATTGGAAATTTCTTTTTTTGTTTGTTTGTTTGTTTTACAATTAAATTATCTGTTTTTCAATGAGAGTTGAATTATTTTTACCCTAAATTAATATCTCACAATTTTTAGGTTTGAGTCAGTGTCAAGATTCAAAGAAGTGATAGTCTTTTCCTGGGAATTTTTTTTAAATAATTTTTTAAATATGTTTTTATTGATTTTTTAGAAAGAGAGGAGGGAGGGAGGGAGAGATAGAAACATCTATGTGAGAGAGGAACATTGATTGGCTGCTTCCTGCATGCCCCCTACTGGGGATCGAGCCTGCAACCCAGGCATGTGCCCTGACTGGCCATCCATGGGTGATGATCAATCCACTGAGCCACACCTACCGGTCTTTTCTTCTTTTTTAAAAGTTCCTTTGGATATTACTGCTCCTCCTCCACTGAGCCTGTGGTACTAGTTTTCTCCTTGGCAATTAAGAAATACTCCTGGGCAGCCTGTCCAGTGTGGCTCAGTGGTTGAGCGTCAACCTATGCACCAAGAGGTTGCTGGTTCAATTCCCGGTCAGGGCACATGCCCAGGTTGTGGGCCTGATCCCTAGTGGGGGGCATGCAGGAGGCGACCAATTGATGTTCTCTCTCATCAATATTTCTAGTTATCTCTCCCTCTCCCTTCCCCTCTCTCTCAAATTAATAAAGAAAATAAAATATTAAAAGAACAAAAGAAATAACTCTGGGCAGAAATCTGTAGGTTTCTTTGCCTTCTTGAGTTGAAATAACAACCGAAAGCTACAGAGTTTAGAGTCATATATCTTGTCTGCATTTGTAGAGCCCATTTTATTTTCTCCAAGTGGGTTGCCCTTAAACCATAATGAATAGTCAGCTGGAATGTGAGCGCTGGGCAAAGGTGCCTCAGCCTACGTAAGCCGATGAAGAGGCATAGACTGTGACCCAGCATCACAGGCGCTCATTTGTCAACTATCAGAAAGGTGATCCATTCTGATTGATATGATTCTCTGAAAAGTAAATTATTTGACTCATGGAATTTCTTTGATTTTTAAATGCAAATTGGGTTTAGCCTTATGGAATGTAATGGTAGAACTTATTAAAATGTTTCTTTATATTCTCCTGAATTCCTCAGCATAGTTGTTCAAATAACATGTTTAGTTCATATTTTGAAACTATAACCACTTCAGAGATCTTAATTTTTTTGTTTGTTTGTTTAAAGTATGGTTCTACTCATTCCTTTCAATATTTCAGGAGGCTATGATATTTAACCAAAGGCCAAGATCATGATGCTCAGCATTTCCCCCCCAAGTTGGAATGGATAGTGGGGAACTGTGTCAAAAGTAGTATTTTAACACTGTATGTTGTGTTCCCCACATTTTAGTTCAAGCG